CCGTCTCCTTGGATCCGCCCTCACGCGTAGAAGTAGAACGTGAGATCAGTCTGTTAAAATTGCATAAGGCCGCAGGAGCAGATAGAATACCTCCAGCCCTCTTCAAATTCGGTGGACCTGCTCTAGTAGATGATCTACACCAGTTGCTAGTAAAACTTTGGGAGCAGGAGACAGTCACGATAGACTGGAACCGCTCCGTCACTGTCCCAATTTTCAAGGGAGGCTCCCGTTTAGAATGTGGCAATCATAGAGGGATCAGTCTGATTTCAGTTGCCTCTAAATTGCTTGCCTCTGTCATTCTCCACAGACTGACTGGCACTCGTGAAAGCCAGATTCGTGAAGAGCAAGCCGGATTTCGTCGAGGTCGGGGCTGCATCGACCACATCTTCACCTTGCGTCAAGTGTTGGAGCACCGCCATGTTTATTGGCGACCCACTGTTGTCGTGTTTCTTGACATAAAAGGTGCCTTCGACTCAGTCGATCGATGTGCCCCTTTGGGACTGTCTGTTGAGGAAAGGTGTGCCTGATAAATATGTAAACATCACCATAGCGCTGTACGCACATAGTTCAGGCAGGGTGAGGGTTTATGGCAAACTCTCGCCACCCTTCAGTATCACCAGCGGTGTGAGACAAGGATGCCCGCTGTCACCTTTCCTCTTCAACTTCGCTATTGATGAATTCATGGAAACAGCGTTCGCTGGACACGACCTAGAAGGTGTGGAGCTACTCCCTGGTGAGCGACTTCTTGACTTAGAGTATGCAGACGATATTGCCCTAATCCGTGACAGCTCCCAAACATGCCAAACAGCACTGAACCGATTAGGACTGGCTGTGAATAATTTTGGGCTATGCTTTGCTCCATCGAAATGCAAAGTACTTCTCCAAGATTGGCAGGGACCCAACCCTGCGCTAACGCTTGGTGGTGATCTGCTAGAAGTCGTTCAGGAATTTAAGTACCTGGGCAGCTATATTAGCACCCATGGGATTGAAGATGAGGTTACGAACCGTATAGCAAAAGCTCGAGGTGCTTTTGGCAATCTCCGCCACCTGTGGCGCAGACGCGACATTACTCTCGCCCTCAAGGGCAGAGTTTACAACGCAGCCGTCCGTTCAACTCTCCTATATGGCTGTGAAACCTGGCCCATCAGGTCGACAGACATGAAGAGACTCGTCACGTTCGATCATCGCTGCCTTCGCAGCTTAGCTCATGTCTGGCGGGAACACCGCGTGAGCAATGAGCGTGTTCGGCGTCGCGTATTTGGTGCAGGAAGAGCGAGTGAACCGCTCAGCACCATTATATCACGCACCAGGCTCCGATGGCTGGGCCACGTGTTGCGCATGCCAGCACACCGACTTCCACGACGTGCATTGTTTGCGCGTTGCGGGTGCGGTTGGAAGAGGAGGAGGGGAGGCCAAGTGATGACTTGGTCGAGAGAAATGAAAACCCTCACTTCGAAGTTGGCGTCGGTTGGTGCATCCCGACTGCCTGGCTGGGGTCCTAAAGACGGTGAACACGTTTGGTTGGACACACTTGCTGACATGGCTCGGAGCCGGCCCCAATGGCGTTTGTGTTGTGAGTTCCTTTGTCCATCCCCCTCCTGCTTAGCATCCCCTCCAATCATGATCTCACCTGATAGGTATAATATGACTCTTTTACGGCAGCCAGCTGTTAGCTCTCCGGAATGACGTCCATCCGTTACTGGGGACAGCGGGTGTGCCACCGTTTGTTTTCCTTTTCTTATCTTTTGTATTGCGGCACAATAGCTGAGGTGTTTTCCACCTCCAGCTAACGTGTAATGATGATGATGATGATGAGAAGTTACCTAATTCGCTTATCAAACAACGAGATAGAAACAATCTGAGCGCAATAACCGACCACTTGATCAGTAATGGACACCGAGTGGACAAAAGTAAGGCAATCAAAACCATGTACAGAATATCGGTACAACTAAACAGTCAGTTTGGAGACCGGCCTGCTCCCTACAGCAGAAGCGGTAATTATCAAATTGGCAAGCCCGAAATGTCGAATCCAAAAGTTCGTCGAACCATCACAGCCTTCGTGGTAAACATTCGAACGAGCGGAATCAGAGTCCGCCAAACAAGGCCCTGTGTTGCCAGGTACTTAACGCACATCCCGAGAACTGTTTTTCCCAAGCAACGTTGTCTGCTCCGAGGAGTTATATTTTGTTAACGATTAATTCTGTATTAAGTTTGATGGAGCCGAGATCGAAAACCAATGTTTGTTTAAAGTGTACCGGTTCCGTTACTTCCAGAGAAAGGAGTACCTGCTGATCGGTACCAAGAATATTACAAGATACCGCATTGAATGCATGAAAAAGCCACAACACAGCACTAGGACAACTAAACAATCTGAGAATACTGCGATATAAATCTGCCACATTCGCAGAGTGGATGCAATCCTCATCGGTTAGGAGAGTGCTGTTACTACCGGAACACGATTTCAGACCAATGACAGTATGGGAACCCCAAGAGGAAAGAACGAGTATGTTGAGGCAGCAACATTTGAAGTACGAGAATGTGAGCACCAAAAGTGCTTATACTTGGGAGTGAAGTTTAGCAGATTCAACTGCGGAGAGCTAACTATTAGTAATACATCACCTGGTCACCTAGTTCTCCGTCAAATACTATATGAGCTCGTACGGCGTTGTGTCAAAGCCAAGGTGACCGACTATAGGATCACCGACCACTCACTTTTGCACCAAAATGTGAGTACCTAACAGAGAGCGGATGAACAACCTTGCTGGCCACCATCTTCTGTGCGGACTACTACCGAACACAAAGAAGGCGGTCGCCAGCAATCAATATCTCAAGCGGTGTGAGACAAAGTTGCCCGCTATCATCATTCCTCCTTAACTTCGCCAAGGTGCGCAGCTTCTCCCAATTGACCGACTTCTTAACTTGGACTAGGCCGACGACATGGCCCTGACCAGTGACCTCCAAAACGTGCGAAGCTACACTGTATTAATTACCTCAGTCTGCCAGCCGTTTTGGCCTATGCATTGCACCAGCGAAATGAAAAGTCCTTCCCCAAAATTGACAGGGACCCACCCCCGAGCTAACCACTGGTGGTGATCAACTAGAAGTCGTCGAGAAATTCAAATATCTCGGCAGCTATATTAACGTCCGTGGGATCGAAGCCGAGAGAATTAACTGTATAGCAGAAACTCAAGGTGCTTTTGCCAATCTCTGCCATCTGTGGCGTCAGTGCTACATCACTCTCGCTATGAAGGACAGAGTTTATAATGCAGCCGACCGTTCAACCATCTTATACGGTTGTGAAACCTGGCCCATCAAGTCGATAGACATAGAGGTTAGCTACACATTCGGCCGTCGCTGCTTTCGTTGCATAGCTCGTCCGGTAAGAACAACGCGTAAGCAATGATCGCGTTCGGCGGCGCGTATTGGTGCAGGAAGAGCTAGCGAACGGCTCAGCACCATAATATCACGCACCAGGCTCCGATGGCTCGGTCACGTGTTGTGAGTGCCAAGCCACCGACTCCCGCGACGTGTGTTGTTTGCGCGTCAGGGGTGCGGTTGGAAGAGGAGAGGGGCGTAGCGATGACTTGGTCAAGAGGAATGAGGGCCATCACTTCGAAACTGGTCTCGGTGAGTGTCTCCGGACTGCCGGGATGGGGTCGTAAGGACGATGAACACGTCTGATTGGATACACTTGTTGACATGACAAGGAGCCGATCTCAATGGCGTTTGTGTTGTTTCTTTGTCTCTCCCCTCTCCTCCAACAACGATTTCATACCCAATGCATAATATGATTTTTAGCACTATATTACTTTATTTGTTTCTGTTGTGGCCGATTGGCTGAAATGTGTTTCTCACTTTCAGCCAACGTGTATTGATGATGATGAGTAGGGAACTGCATTGAGAAACTCGCGAAAATTATGCGTTCCATGCGATTCCTCTGTACATGTTGATCAGACCACTCAGTTGGACTGAGCCTTGCACAGTCAAGCAGTATACCGTCTAGTTATTTAGATTGGTATTCGGAAAACAAGCGAGTTCTGATCCCAACACAGGTTAAGGAGAATGCAAAGAAGAGACGAGCTCATGTTGTCAATGTCCCGAGTATGAGTCAACTGGATCAGGAAATGTGTGGAGAACGTTATGTGCCATCCAAGAGAAGAGCAAAATGAGACCCGTATTGGAAGATAGAACACTAAGACAGAAAGAGTAAGTAAAGGCAATTGTAGTAAGCTATCGCAAATCAAACAATGCAATCGGCAGTGGGAGGCAGAGATGGCTATCTCCCATGATTAAAAAATTCAGGTTTTGTCGCAGGGGGTAAAACGCTGTGGATGGACGGAATCAAGACACAGGATACATGATCCATCGGATGGGAGCTGAAGGCAAACAAACCCAACCAAGCAATTGGAATCAATAGAAGAAACGGAATTTAGGTTCTTGGTTTTGTTTATAGGGAATTAGGCGGATATCGATGCTCCAGTCTCTGATCAGTGGTACGAAGGGAGAAACATAATGACAACTGTCGGCTAAACAGCTGCGTAAGATGGAACGGGGTGATAATTTTTATGCAGTGGGTGATGCTTAACGGCGAAGCGCGAGAGAGCAGATGTGGATTTGAAGTTGGTGAAATATAATTCATTACGAAAAGTCCTTGTGAGACGGTATCAAGATCGAAAACATACAAGACAGCTGTTTCGATTCGTCAACATTGAACATTCTTTCATTTGAATGAGGTGCTTGAGGTCGCAACCCAAGTGGAATATTAAGCTTCGTAATCACGTCTGATGTCGGAAACCGAGGCGATTACATTACGAATAGTGTGATATAGTTTGATCCAGCCCTAGGTTAGCCAGTGCATTGCTATACGCTGGTGGCAGCTCGATTAAGTCTGACTGTAATCAACACAGGATCTTGAACAAAATAAAAACAACACTGGGACGATAATATCAATAGGGAGTGAAAGTGGTGTCAGAAGATTACGTAAGATAAGCTAGACCCACCTTTCGCAGACGGCGTGTTGAAAATGCGTTTCATGCAACCGAGTAGTAGATTTTTCAATTGGCTATCGAAACGATAAGCTTTATTGTCAAGCCAGTGAACAACAAATTGCTCCGTGTTGGAACTGTAAAAGAGAAAAATACCCAGTAGACGTCCACACTAGAAATGAATGATTACTCCTAAAAGTATCAAACCGTACCAACAGAATGTTGAATTTTAAGAGTGAGGGAATATGTGCTTAAGTGGGCGCAGTGTGAAATCACCAGCCTTTCGCTTCGTCTACCACTTGTTCACGAAAGCCACCTGCCTTATCCATAGGTAGACACTTATTGGCTACTTGCATCCATTCGACTCTACCACACACTTCATAATCTTGTGCAGACATGCTAACACCCATTTCCTGCATTTCGCCGAGGCTGTCGCGATCAGCCGGATCAAACCGGCCCTCTGTTGGCACAGCTGTTGGTAAGCCTAAGGCTTCTATGGATGTGGGGGTGGCACACCTATCTTATCTTATCTCTAACTGTAGTTATATATTTTTTCCTGTTATTGTTGTATCGACACTGAAGAGAGAATACGAAATGAGGACAAACATATTCATATTGGCATGTCACTGCGACTGCCTATACTAATGCAGCAATGATACCATGATGTACTAAGGGTGCAGGAATAGTGAAGCAGGGCGAATCTGAGAAGGGGGTGTTTGCATAGCATGCAAGTTACTTGATTGTTGTACACTGTCGCGCACTGCTCCAGGTTGCGGATCGGGGAATGCATTCCTAATAAAGGCAATTGTGAATCTGTCTCGTTTAATTCGCAGGTGACATGAATCAGTCATCGTGGTCAATGAGCGCAGCGTCTCAGAGCGCGAGGGTTTAGGCTGGTCATCTGGTTCCCTATTAAATCCCACAAGAGATCGTACAGCGTTGCGACAAAGCCAAGGTTAACGGCTACAGGGCCACGGACAGCACCCACTTCGTAACCAGAACCGAGTACCTAACGAAGGGTGAATGAACAACTTCGACGGTCACCCTCGCTTGTACGTGGGATGACATCGAATACTAAGAGGACGTATGAGTACCCTGGTTGTCGATAATTTTTGTATTACGCAGCGAGTTGAACGTTCTAGGAAACGTTTCCGCGGCCCCAGTGCTGATATACTCGGGCTGTCCGAGTATCCTGATAGTCTGTCACTACTGGAAAGCAGAGTTACCGGCTCCCTACGGTTCGCAGTATACTTTAATTCCCTCGTTGCTTTGGCGGTAAGGTCTTTACAACCTATGGCGCTAGGTCGGTTTCCCTAAGTCAAGTCTGTTCCTCGACCTGGGTAACTGAAAAGCTGTGCCCACACAACACATATGGACATGAAACTACGTAATCCTAGGGTCGCTTTACAGGACAGGTTTAAGCAAAACTTATCGGGAGACGTAGCTGATGAAACCGCCTGTCAGGCCGGTGTAGGAACTGCGCTACTGGTGTGGATTCAAATTAATAGCCGTATCCGTGCAATTCGGTTAAAAACCTAAATACGATTATCCAATCATGAGGCAACTAAACGCAGTTTTCTTGTCGTGGCGGTCAATGCTCACAAGGATTGCAGCTCGGACTTGGCCTAACATTAGATCTACAGTGGACTCCGCAACATACTTCGCAAAAAGCGTCACACGGTTATCGTAGTGCTTGCCGGGTACTTTACGAGAATATTCGTAGACTCGAAACTTATAAACGGGAACTCGGTGACGAGAATGGTCATGGTGTTCGTAGTACGGACAACGGCGACCACCTTCTATAGCTCTGTGGCGAACACAGCTTATTACTTTCGAGTGCAGATTTTCGGCACTCCTGACGCCAGCGTGTCACCTGGCAGCCTCCTTCGCTTGCACAGTCATGAACGCAGATTGACCTCATCGCTAACAATTACCGTTGACGAAGCTGAATAACGGGCGGTAAATAATTTTGGAGTACTTGTGTGCTAGTATTGCCCTGCGTCACCGGTGACATCTTGAGGTAGCCAAACTTGTCACTCCAACGATTCTCGGTTCCTTTCAGAACTCAATGGCTTCTGGTCTGAAGAGCCCTCCACACCCAGATGTTGAAGCGCATTGGACGCATATCCGGAATGCTGTGCAAAAACATGCCAACGTCCTCTGTCTTTACTAGGTACTGGCGAATTTCTGTTCTAAGTGTTAAACTTATAGAAGACCGCCAGGTATAAATCAACGCAGTTATCAACGCCGAGTTAAAACAGGTCATTGGGAAAGATCGCGGAGCCCGATGGAGGCAGCGTCTCAATGAAATGGAAGAAGTTACCTTCTTAGGTAACTTATGCAGAATTTTCTTTCTAATCCAACCCACCAACTGTAGGCTAAGTACTTTGTGAACCCAGAGGTGAACCAATTCACAATCAGCAACGCCAAGTACGTTGGGTAGTGCACTCCGAACAGCGGTTTCACCGGCCACCATTGTCCTGAAGTCTTCATTTAACTACCCGCGGTGTTCCATGGTGGGTAAGCGCTTCTCCGCCATCCTAAGATGAGGTATCCTACAAGCTTTGTCCTCTGATGCGTTATAAATATACCGGTCCCGATGATTTGTCTCACAATCTTTACAAGAATTGAGACCCGTTTCTTTTTCTCAGTTAATTACCCTCCATCAATATAGTTGGGCTACAGACATCATCCCATTTGACTGGAGCTTAGTGGATATCAGGTGACTGAACAGAATGCGCCGACTACCGAAGGATCAGCATCCTATTCGTTGCGTTCAAAAGGAGCAGCTTCATTGCGTTTACGGAAGCGCAGTCAAGTATGCGAATAGCACACGCGTGAAGAGGAAGCTAAGTTTCATCCAGGCGGGGTTGTGTTGATCACATCTCTACGATTCGCAGGAGTTGGAATACCGTCAGGCTTTCAGTCGACCTACTAACGTTTGCTTCCTGGACATAGGTGCAAGTTATTCAGCTGACACAGCTGTCTTCTGGAGTTATTTACAGAAAAGTATGTAAGCAATCTCCAAGTAATCTACTCTACAACATCGGACCACATGCGGGATTACGGTGGTCATTTGCAATACTTCGGTATCATCAGTGGTGTGAGACAGGGTTGTCCAGTATCATCACCCTTGTTGTTTATATTAGCTACAGATGAAATAATAGTGTTCTGTAAAACTGTGGGCCTAGTGGTACCGCGTTACTCCCGGGTGATCGGCTTCGTGACATCGCTGTAATCTGTGACACTTCTCACGATGTCCAGGACGTGTCGCGCAAGTTGGATAGGTCTGCCTCAGAGTCCCATTGACCTTTACTCGTTCGAAGAGCAAGATATTCCTGCAGGGCTGGTTAGGAAATGATGCAACCCCCACACTTTCAGGTTCTTTTTAGAATTAGTCGACGAGTTGGTTTACTTTGGGGATGCACTATTGTTGGCGGATTAGCAGATGAGACTAAATTTCGCACCGCCAGTCAGATTAGCCTTTGCCAACCTCGGACACCTCTAGCGCAGGTGTGATCTCAGCCTTCCGTCAAAGTGTCGAGTCTGCAACTAGCGGTGCTCTTGTATGGCTGCGTGATCTAGCCCATTCAAACAGACGATGTCAAGAGATTGTCTTTTGCTAATCAGTACAGCCTCCAAACTAACGTGGGTGTGTGCTAGTAACATTGTACTAGAAATGACGATGTCCGCGTCGGATTTTCAAGCCAGGCAGATTATGTAGACAAGTGTGTTGCATGATTTTTATGCGTGTACACTGGTGCTTAGGGCACGTACACTGTATGCCTGCTCAATGGTTGCCCTACCGCGCTCTGTATGCAAGTCATGGCGTTGATTGGGAGGGTTAGAAAGGTGGCCAACACACAGCCTAGGTCTGGAGTGTCAAGATGCAGTTGGCCACAGTGAGGCGTTCCCAACCCCGGGGTTCGGCGCTCAAGGACACCGAACCAACCTGGTTTGGGACACTCGGAAATGGTCCGGAATCGTATTAATGGCGAACGTGTCGTCATATTCTCTTCTTATGAACGCCATTTCTCTTCCTCACCTCCTACTGTTACCCGAATTGTGGCACTCCGCCAACTGTATAATGGTCAATGGTTATGCCTGTCACTGTGGCCAGCCACAGGACGCCTGCGTCTACAGGGGGACCATGGGTAATTAGCACATAGTTGCAGGAATCGATCACCTTTATCGATTCGATGTGTGTATAGAACCTAAAACGGCCTCCCAGACGTTGCTCAGAGGTCGAAAGACGACTCTGTTGAGTATGCATGTCACTAGCAACAACCAGCAGTCTTCAACATACGGATAAAAGATGAGAGCTATCGATAGCTTTCATCTTTGACATCCACTGAGCTGCATCCAGTGGATGCATCAAATGCAATTCAGACAGGAAAAACATCCTTGTGTTACAAATAGCGTAGATTCAAGGACGCAATACGGAAACTAGGAGATTAAATCTTGACAACGTGCGCATAACCCAAAGTGGAGGATTATGGCAAATTGACATGGCAGAATATTATCTCGTCTGAATACGGCGACAGCAGCATGGAATAAAGAATTCCATAAAATGGGCAGAACTGTAAAGCAAGTTAGTCGTGTTTGTGTGTTATGTGAGTGCCGTAGGGCGGAAGGTTCTCGCAAATACGTGTCATTCACACTGCCTATAGAAGTTATCTTTTCTATCCTCTGGGATGCAGCCAGTGAGGGGCATAAACCGAAAAGATAAAGAGAAACTTCGTCTAGACTGCGTTCATTGATTCCAATGGGAATCAGAAATCTAACTACACGCATAATGCTGTTCACTAGCAGCCAGTTAAGTGGATTTCCCTCAGCATATCTTCTGAGAAAAACATAGAAGCTAGCAATATCTTGAGCCATTGAGTTGGTATCGCCAGAGACGCGAAGAGTGTAACTGTCAATAATATCGCAACATGGTAGTCAGAGATTGGTTGCGACGCTGTTGGTCTGCAAAGATTGGAGAGTGAAAGGCCAGAGATAGTGTTGCCCGCGACCGGCTACCGGGTTGTAGGGCGAGTTATAACATATCGATATTAACAGTTATGAAGTTAACAGCAATTTGCTTCTTAACAGGCAACGAAGAAGACAGTCGTAGTAAGCCGTGCAATTCCGGACAAGGCTGGGATACATACAGGAAAAAGACAACGTCAGTGTGCCGCGTAGGGCGACAAACAATTGAAGTAAAAACAACTTAGGGTTACTCAGTGAACATCGTGTCGAGTAAGCGGGAGCAAAACATATACTGATGTCACATTCTCTCAAATGGTGACTACCACATGTGTGGTTCGTTAGTGATCAAACCATCTACATCTTAGAAACCATAACCTTTGTGGAATCTGCTCTAAAACTTGATCTCAGCAGATTAATACTCTCACTCCCATTAGGGTGTACTTATATTGCCGGATGATGTTCTGACATGTACACAGCAAAGGTACAGCACTTAAGTTGCAAATAGTGTGAGTGAATACATATACGAAAAGTAGATTGTTAGGCAATTGGATGGCCTTGCGAACCGTGTAGGGGCTTAGACGTTGTCGGCGTGATGACAGTCCGACGGAACATCGTTGCAAAAGATCCGCAGATGGCCGCAAGCCACTGGAACCCCATCCTAGTGCAGATAGTATGACGCGGAGTAGGTTTCCACTCCTGTCGGAAAGCTAGCAACAAAATAAGGTAAAAAGAAGTACAGAATTTCCCAAGGGGAAAAGACTATGTTCATACGCGTAGGCAAGATAAATGCAGAGAATGATATAACGAGGGTAATTGTGAAAGCATTACCTTTTTGAAGTACCCAAGGCCAATCCTCTGAAATTGTCCAAGCACAGCGTGGTGGCAAGAGCAAACTGTGGGCACGAATAAGTTGTCGTAGTGGCAGGAGCACTATGAACACCTTCAACAGTTGGCTTAGGTCCAACATCCATCACAACATCAGCAAAGGGGTCCGCTAACCTGATGGAACAAAGCAGTGCACGCGCCAAAAATGCTTGAAAATTTAAGCGACGCATATCTCACCGAGAATTCAATAGAAGCAAGGCGGAAACTGAGATTAGGGTGCTATGTCAAAATGGGCAAAAGTAATTCAAACAATGTTCGCACTTTGAGTACTGGTGCGTAATCCTATGTAAAATCAACAACAGAGCCGAGACACCTATGACAGTAATAAATCACAATCAGCCGTGTACCACAGAGACGATTACTGAAGGAGGTTGAATACTTTGGAATCCAGAACCCGTTTCTAAATTGGCTTTCCACCGGTCTCAAACAGTCGCTTTGAGTGGTCAGCATTCTTCTCCTCGTCCAATAACCAGCGAAGTCATTCAAGGAAGTGTACTTAACCCATTGCTTCTTCTGCTCTACATCAATGATATTGGAATGTTTATCAATGGCTAACTCATGCTATTTGCTGATGAGAACACGGTTTTTATAAACACCGGCGTGATACGATTCAGAGCACACTAGTTTTAATTCAGCAAGATCTTCAGCCTCTTGAAGAATGATCTGACACGCGGTTGATAAAATTCCCCCGATAAATCAAACATTATGTCCTGTGGTTGCCCGATCCCCGATGGGCCAATTACACTTAACAACAAAAGTGTGACCATACAACAGTCTACACGTGATCTTGAAATCTAGTATTCTTCCAAGTTCCGATTTGCGAAACAAATGCGATAGCAACTAGCTTGAGCAAGACAACCCGTGGCCAACATATGCCACAAAACCCACACAGTCTCTGTCAGATTGGGAGTATTTAAAACCCTCACTCGTCCTCTTCTCGAATACTGCAACTTCATCTAGGGCAGTATGCGATGGTTAGAGGAAAGCTATGGAGAATTTACGGTGGTCATTCACCAAACGTTTGTTCAATAGCACATCCACTGTAAACTGTCGCAAAGTGCTTCACATTGAGCCGTTCTGGTTGTTGCTTCACAATTTGTTGCATCGGAAAATGTATTTTCACTTACATAACCTAAAGATAAAACATGACACCCGTCACAGACTTCGTAACAAAAAAATTTACGCTGTGGATACCAAAAGCTAGAACCATGTGCGCCAATTTTTTCGCATCAGATACGCCGTCTTGTGGAACAACCTACCAAACGCAATCAGGACATGTGAAAAACCTACGTCATTCCACACCAAACTAGACAGATTGTTAGATAGTGTTTACATCCATGTTCTCATCCGACAACTCACCTATGAAATATTCCAGAATGCTCCAAAAAATATCTAGGGCTAAGAATTGGGGACAACATGCACGCATGAAAGAGCATGAACATTTCTATACATACTGGTCTATTACTAATTTAGGTTTCTCACTTCCTAGAAGCAAACGTATATATCCACCGAGGAGTTATGATTGCGAACCACCCAAGTAGAGTGCAGTTGCGACATTTGGAATGCGCGGGGGAGATGCGCCGTGAACGAGTTACTATCGAAGCACGAGCGTATACATGGTACATTTCCAACATAAAACAGTCGGACTCATTTGCGTACAACATTCGTAGTGCCACTTGACTCTATGCTGCGTCTTGTGCTATCGACTCGTCTTGCCGTGCCGATACGGTATAGGTTCAACGTTCCAGCGACATCCACTCTCAGGGCTAGTTGAATCGTGCACTACGCGCCCGTCGTCCGCGGTGATCTATTATTCACTGAGTTCAACGCGCCTGCTCGTTACACTATACTACTCATTAGTAGTGAACCACACTCCTCCCCCTAAGTCTCCGCAGCCAACGACCTCGCACGCAGTCTCTTCGATCTTTGGGACTGCCCCAGATATGCAGTACTTTTTTCGCTCGTACCACTTCCACAATTCGCTAGCGTGAACTCGCCGCCTATCTCGCTATCGAGCGATGGTGTATACGTGGCTTCGTCGATCGATTACGTCATATGGTCCCTCCCACTTCGGGAGGAGTTTCCTCTCGTCTGGGCCAAATGCGGTCGCGCGTTGGTGATATCTGTAGTTTAGCTTCGAACCGATTAAAGTCTCCAAAAATTTTCTCATGTTGACCCGGGATTTCTCCATCATCTGCCCCCGGGCTGCCTTCAAGTTTCGGTTCGCTACCGACCTGTTGTTCCGTGCTTCCCTAGGCGGTAACTGCTAGGTTGGCCACATTCCCACCTCTAGATCCAAAAGTATTCGGGACGCGCGATCGTACCTTAACTGAAATGGGGATTTCCTCCTGCTTACTGGCTTGGACGCCCTGTGTGCTAGCAAAGATAGTGGTAGATCTTATTCTCAATCTCCCCCTTTCGCCGCCAGTCATTCTTTAGTTGTCCTTTTATTCCTTTCCGTCAGCTCATCTGTCTGGGGATGATAGGGAGTGGTTCGTAGCTTCTTGATGCTCAGTTTCTCCAGACATGTCCGGAACTCGTCACTTTCAAAGCATGGGCTCTGGTCCGTCAGTATTGCCTTCAGAATTCCGTGGCTTGCTATCACATTCCTTCATCACCGCATGTGTTATGCTGCTAACCCACTGATCTAGAATTGCCGCGGCTTCAATCCAGCGGGTGAACTGCTCGGTCAACACTGCTATGTATTTACTGCCCCATCTTGTTAACTGGAACGGTCGCGTCACGTCGATTGACCATAACTCACCAATCGCAGACACCGGAATAACGAGCATATGTTGTGGTATTTCTACATTATCTTCCTTCAATTGCCGGTATTGCTGACACGACAGCACGTATGAATCGACGTTTTTTTTCATACCCGGCCAATAAGCTCGCTACCTACGCAAATCGTATGTTCTGGTGCTTCCGATATGGGCCATCTCGTGACAAGAGACCACCAACTTTTTCCACAACTTCGGTGGGATCACCGACACTGGGGTAGCGCCTCGCTCTTGTGTCCACATCAGAATTCCGGCTTCGTTGACTTGCAGGTTTTCCAGGTTCCGCGCGAATGGCCCGAATTGTTGGCCTTGGCTTTTGGTTGGCACAGTTTGATTCGTTGCTCATGCTGTTATCAGCCTGCTCAAGCACCTATCCTTTCGTTGCTCAGCTCCCAACCTCCCCGGATCCTGCACCAGCGCTAAATCACTGCCACCGAAAGCAATGTTCGGCAAATCGTCGTCACTCGTCAGGCGCGATAAAAAAATCTGCCGTTCCGTTGTCCCTCCCTGATATGTAGCTTTTCGTGAAGTCGTATTTTTGTAAGCGTAGTACCCACCTAGCCAACTTTCCTCTGGTGTCTTTGCAGGACCTAATCTATTACAACGGTTTGTGATCTGTTTCGACGTGAAAGCGTTGACCCAGTAAATACGCCCGCCACTTGTCCAGCGCCCAAACAATTGCCAGACATTACTTCTCTACTGTTGGATACTTGCGTTCCGATGGCGTTAAACTTCTGCTAGCGTATTTAATCGTCCATTGCTTTCGTTTCAGTACCACACCGATTCCGACGTCACTTGCGTCTGTGGTCATCTTGAAAGCTTCTCCGGCGATCGGCAATTTCAACTTAAGATCCTGCCTTCCCATTTCTTTCTGAATGTCACCAAGCGCTCACTGAGCTTCTGCCGTCCACGTGAATTTCTTCCAATCTCCTAACAGGTCGTAAAAAGGTGACATAAAACTGTTAAAATTCCTGACGAATTTACTGTAGTATCCGGCGCGGCCCTAAAATACCCCAAGACTGCTCTTCGAAGTCGGAACTGGGGTACATCGAATTGTTAACAATTTCTCCGGAAGCGGCTTCAGCTCACCCTGACTCACCTTATGACGAAGCAGGGTCACAGAGGTTTTCCCGATTTGAGAATTAGGATCATTTATCTGTAATCCAGACCGTAGGATGCTTTGCAACATTGCCCCCAAATGATGGCAGCGTTCTGCTTCTGATTCACTGTACATCACGATGTCGTCTCCATACACGGTCACAGTCTTTAACCCATCCAGCAGGCGGAGCATCAAACGCCGGAAAGTGAACGGGGCACCAGATAATCCAAACGGCATTCTTTTAAATTGATACTGCATCCAGCCAACTGTAAAAGTGGTCTTCTCGCGGTCCTCCAGTTTGATCGCGAGCTGCCAGTAGCCAGATGTCACATCCAGTACAGTGAATATCTGAATTTTGCAGTTTGTCGAAGATGTCTGCGACCCATGGCACCGGGACAAAACGACTCAGCGAGATTTCGTTTAATCTTCCGAAGTACACGCAAAAGCGGCATTCTCCGTTGGCTTTCTTCACCAAAACGACGCGTTATACTGTCTGTAACCCTCCTCGATTACACCCGCATTCAACATCTGAACCTGCCTTGTGATCTCGGCCTCCAGGTGGAGGTTGTATTCTTCTGTGTCCATGCAACCGATACGGCTGCCGCAAAAGCGGAATTATGTGTTCAAGACAATCACAAAACTCGTGGGGATTGTTATCGTCTGTGAAGAGGTTTTCAATTGCTGATGAACGATTGCAGGGCCATACTAGTGTGTACAATGGCAACGACTGAGCACGCCCGGGCGGATCCTAGTCTATCAGCGATGGGTATAGACCCGTATTTCGTCATCAGCTTTCCTCGTTTCAGGTCGACGATGGCCTCACTAGCTAGAGAGTCTGCCCATAGAACGGTCGGTTTTGCGTCTGCCGACACAACGAAGAGATGGTTGAATTTATGACTCCCGATACGAACCACGTGCTCCGCCATACCATTTATGCGTATATCGTAAGCACCGATCGCTTTCACCTGCATGGCCCTGCAATCGTTCATCAGCAATTGAAAACCTCTTCACATACGATAACAATCCCCACGAGTTTTGTGATTGGCTTGAACACATAATTCCGCTTTCGCGGCAGCCGTATCGGTTGCATGGACACAGAAGAATACCACTTCCACCTGGAGGCCGTGATCACAAGGCAGATTCAGATGTTGAATGCGAGTGTAATCGAGGAGGCTTACATACAGTATAACGCGTCGTTTTGGTGAAGAACGCCAACGGAGAATGTCGCTTTTGCG